ATGCTCCACACACTCAGGGAGTTGCTCTAATGCTATCCAAAGTAGCACGAAATGCACTTGTAGGATGGGAATCTCACGGACCCACAATCATCAAAGCATCATTCAAAACAAAGAAGGAGGGGATCACAATGAACATTATCCAATGTTATGCACCCACCAATGATAGCAATGACGACGTTAAGGATCAATTCTATGAGAGGCTGCAATCAATCATAGAGAAGTGCCCAAGAAAGGACCTCACCATTCTGATGGGAGATCTAAACGCCAAAGTCGGAATGGACAACACCGGATATGAAGACATCATGGGACTACAGAGAACCAGATAGATCACATTTGCATCAATAAAAAGTTCCGAAGGACAATGGAAGATGTGAAAACCAGGAGAGGAGCGGACATAGCTTCAGATCATCACCTAGTTGTGGCCAAATTGAAACTGAAGCTAAAGAAGAACTGGACAACTGGACAAACAGCATCACAAAGGTTCAATACAGCCTTCCTTCGAGATACTGACAAACTCAATGAATTCAAGGTAGCTCTCAACAACAGGTTCCAAGCCTTACAGGATCTACTGAACGAAGAAGAAACTACTATGGAGGATAGCTGGAAAGGTATCAAAGAAACATTAACTTCAACGTGTCAAGAGGTTCTGGGCCCCAAGAAGCATCATCACAAGGAATGGATCTCTACAGAAACACTGGACAGGATCAAAGAAAGAAAGAACAAGAAGACAGCAATTAACAACAGTCGAACAAGAGCAGAGAAAGTCCAAGCACAAGCAGAGTACATAGAAGCAAACAAGAAAGTGAAGAAGAGCATTACAGCTGATAAGCAAAAATACGTGGAAGAACTAGCAACGACGGCGGAAAAAGCTGCAGGAGAAGGAAATATGAGACAGCTTTACGATACGACGAAGAAGCTTGCAGGGAAATACAGTAAACCAGAGAGACCAGTCAAAGACAAAGAAGGAAGACCAATCACTGAGATTCAACAACAGCGCAACAGATGGGCAGAGTACTTCGAGGAGCTCCTGAACAGGCCGGCTCCAATGAATCCACCGGACATCGAAGCAGCACACACAGATCTTCCTATAAATGTCAATCCACCAACGACGGAAGAAATCAGAATGGCCGTCAGACAAATCAAGAACGGGAAAGCAGCAGGACCTGACAATATACCAGCTGAAGCATTGAAGTCAGACATCGAAGTAACTACAAGCATGCTTCATCTTCTATTCAAGAAGATTTGGGAGGAGGAACAAGTGCCGATGGATTGGAAAGAAGGACACCTCATCAAGATTCCAAAGAAAGGAGATCTGAGCAAGTGTGAAAACTACAGAGGCATTACACTACTGTCAATACCGGGTAAAGTCTTCAACAGAGTGTTACTGAACAGGATGAAAGACGCAGTAGACGCTCAACTTCGAGATCAACAAGCTGGATTCCGTAAGGACCGGTCGTGCACAGACCAGATTGCGACACTACGGATCATCGTCGAACAATCAATTGAGTGGAACTCGTCACTCTACATCAACTTCATTGATTATGAGAAGGCATTTGACAGTGTAGATAGGAGGACATTATGGAAACTTCTTCGACACTACGGAGTTCCTGAGAAGATTGTCAACATTATCCGGAACTCATACGATGGACTACAGTGCAAAGTAGTGCATGGAGGACAGCTGACTGACGCATTCCAAGTAAGGACCGGAGTAAGACAAGGCTGTCTACTCTCTCCCTTCCTGTTTCTTCTGATGGTCGACTGGATTATGAAGACCTCGACATCTGAGAGAAACTACGGCATACGATGTACAGCTCAGAACCAATTAGAAGATTTGGACTTCGCAGATGACCTAGCCCTCCTATCACATACACACCAACAAATGCAGATAAAGACAGCCAGCATAGCAGCAGCCTCTGCATCAGTAGGCCTCAACATACACAAAGGGAAAACCAAGGTCCTCAAACACAACACGGAGAACAGCAATCCAATCACTCTTGATGGCGAAACTCTGGAAGACGTGGAATCCTTCACATACCTGGGAAGCATCATCGATGAACAAGGAGGATCAGATGCAGACGTAAAGGTGAGGATTGACAAAGCAAGGGCCTCATTCCTACTGTTGAAGAACATATGGAACTCAAAACAACTGTCTCTCAACCAATATCAAATTTAGAATCTTCAGTACCAACGTCAACGCAGTTCTGTTGTATGGAGCTGAATCTTGGAGAACTGCTACAACCACCATCAAGAAGGTACAGGTATTTATTAATAGCTGTCTACGCATGATACTCAACATCCATTGGCCGGATACCATCAGCAACAGCCTTTTGTGGGAGAGAACCAACCAGCTTCCAGCTGAAGAGGAAATTAGGAAAAGACGATGGAAATGGATAGGACATACATTGAGGAAATCATCAAACTGCATTACGAGACAAGCGCTAACTTGGAATCCTGAAGGGAAGCGGAAAAGAGGAAGGCCAAAGAACACATTACGTCGGGAAATAGAAGCGGATATAAAAGGGATGAATAAGAACTGGAAAGAGCTTGAAAGGATTGCCCAGGACAGGGTTGGATGGAGAATGCTGGTGAGCGGCCTATGCTCCTTCACGAGGAGTAACAGGCGTAAGTAAGTAAGTAAGTAAGATGAGAGTGGACGATAGAATGTATGAGATTATTCATTAAGATTTGATTTCACAACTTCTGTAGTCCATTTTGTTTGTGAAAATATGTTCTTAGGTAATTTTTATTGACATTTATACATTCTGAGTGAATTTGGTACTAAATTGAACCTGTTACTCCTCGTGAAGGATCATAGGTCGTTCATCTGCATTCTCCATCCAACCCTAACCTGGAAAAACCTTCCCAGCCCTTTTCAGTTGGTATTCATCCTTTTCAGATCTGCTTCTATTTCCCCATGTAATGTGTTTTTTGGCCTCCCTCTTTTTTGCTTCCCTCGGGGTTCCGAGATAGGGTTTGCCTCGTGATGCAGTTTGATGATTTCCTCAATGTACGTTTTATCCATTTCCATCGTCTTTGCCTAATTTCCTCTTCAGCTGGAAGATAGTTGGTTCTCTCCGGTCAATGGATGTTGAGTATCTTGCGTAGACAGCAGTTTATAAGAACTTGTACCTTCTTGATAGTGGTTGTTTTCGGTTTCCAAGTTTCAGCTCCGTACACTGGAACTTTCTTGACGTTGGTATTGAAGATTCTGACTTTGATATTGGTTCACAGACTATTGTTTTGAGTTACATATGTTCTTTAATTGAAGGAATATGGCGCTTGCTTCGACAATCGTCTTTACGTCTGCAACTGAACCTCCTTGTTCATCGATAATGCTTGCCAGGTATGTGAAGGATTCTACATCTTCCAAAGTTTCACCATCAAGAGTGATTGAAAAGATGTTTTCCGTGTTGCATTTCAGAACCTTGGTTTTGCTCTTGTGTATGTTGAGGCCTACTGATGCAGAGGCTACTGCTGCTACATTGGCTGTCTTTATCTGCATTTATTCGTGTGCTAGGTTCTCTACGATGTCGGTTGGTTCCGAGCTGTTCATTGTATACCATGTTTTATCTAAGATGTCGAGGTTTTCATAATCCGGTCGACCACCAGCAGAAAGAAAGGAAGGGAGAGATTAAAAATCACTGTCTGAATACGATCCATACATGGAAAGAATCTGTCAAATGTCCTCACATCCAGATTAACTTGTTTCAGTATTGACATTTGGTCACACACAGTTGAATCTATGTTTTGCGTTCTGTTCCATTTAGGCCACGTCAATAAGACGAACAATCATCTCAGTATTGATGTTTATACTAAAACTGAATTCTTTACATAATCACTTCAAACATCATTGCGCCATCCACTGAAATGGTGAATCAAGATAGCCATTTGGTTATTTAAGAGATAATTGATTAACCTGTAAAGATTTGCGTTTTTCAGTCTGATGATATTAAAGATTTCAAGTGATCAGTCTAATGTATTCCTAAATATTCACTGCAAATCTGAAAAGTACAATTCGTCCACGCAAGATATTTCAATACATTTGTTTATATATATCAAAGCGGCTCAATTAGACGAAGAGAGATGATTTATTGTGGAAAGGATAAGAACTTATCCAATAACGTCAGATATTGACATGGATTAAGAATAACCAAGAGAGAGAGAGAGAGAAGAGATCAAAATATCTGAACACTACCACCTGGTTTTCTGTATTCACTAACACCAATTCTCTGTTGTTTTACTTTAAACATTTATGCATATAAATAAACCAAATACATTGGACAAGATCGAGCTGCTTTCATCTGTTTGTCAATCAAACAGGATATCAACAATACAAATACTTTGGTTAATTAGGTTGAACATCTTCTATTTGATCTATCATTGAAACATTCAGCTATGCTGGTTGATGCAAAAGGAATGTTTATGTAAGTTCTTATCGTTTTAATGATATTTACTTTACAATGTAGTTCATACGTGATGTTGGTATTCTTGATTTGTCTGTGCAATGTTTGAGCGTCAACATACACGTCATATCCATTAATATTATACATAAAAATTTTTTTTCACAGATCACTTTAAACTAAATATGTTTCATAATCCACTAGTTTGAAAGATTGTAATTGCCTGGGAAATAATCAGTATTGTGATAAGTAATATGAACAGTCATACTTTTGATGGATGAATGTTCTCCGACATGGCTAGTTTGATCGTGAATCTTTGATTGTTCGCCTAAACGGCATCATCAACACAAATTTCTACCTGAGGAAATGCACTACAATGTTTTGTGGAAGCGACCACTATGGTGATTTCATGTCCCGCAAACGGGGTTAAAAAAGTTGCGGTTACTAATTTTTGTTTCTATTATCAACTGAAAGTCGGAATTGACTATTGAATTGATAAATATCATGTGCACATTTTAAGAAACTGTGTATTTTGTACAAAACCGTTTACATTGATCCTCATTACATAATCGTAATTAATTCATTTAGTTCACAGTGATCTCATTGTTGTTCTACCCATAAAATCTTTGCATTAAGCATAAACCAATTGACTGTCATATTCTGGATTCTGTAATTCATACTTCTAATAGAGACAAGACATGTAAACACTGTTCATAAGTAACAATAAGAATTATGCTATCACTTACGATTGAACATCCCTAATGATTGTCTTATTGATGGATGAACAAGATATTTAACTTCACTGTTTGATTCAATGAAACACTTTGCCTGGAGGTTGATCAACATGTTCACTTCTACACAATTCACACATTACATGGAGGCAATTTAATCAAATTAATGTGAATGCAATAAACGGTCTTATTCTATGATGGGGTAGAATAAATCACATTCTAAATAAGATTCAATCTGAACATACCAATACCTTCGTATGCGATCTAAGGATATATGTCAAGGAATATTTGAAAACATCAGGGATGCAAATAGAAATAATGTTTATTGTGTCAAGTTCTTCGATGTCAAGTAAATTTATTCAACTGAGTATGCTTGAAAGGAATCGGTGGAATAATTTACAATTCAAAATGTCGGATAATTACTGGAAATGCTTGAAACAGGATGATTCAAATAACTTCGTATAAAAATAGTTTGATTGAGTGCATTAGATAGACGACACTTCAGCGCCGAAATGAGGATTATGGAAATAACATCGTCAAAATGAGAACATCTCTTGTTAAAACCTTTTCGTAAACCTTAAACGTAACCATATGCATTCTCACACAATAAAACAGTTATCTCTCGCTGATTTATTTCAAACGACGACTGAACAAATTTACGTTTACAAAGATAACGCCCAAACGATGATGATCAAATCGATGTTCTTACTGATGACGATTGAGTATGTCACATTTCCAGGTTTGGTTCATACATCAAGCAATTAACCGCCAGAATCCTAACAATGTAGATGATGACAGGTTATTCAGAAAAGATTTGAATTAGGCCATGTTAATCTCCGTGATGGAAACCCCATTTCAACAACTTGTACGCGCACATCTAAACAAGTAATTAAAATGAACTTAACAGTTTTTTTAACAGAAAAATGAAAAGTAAATCAAACTCAATTGAAAAACAGTCAATATTTTGTTGAATGAACGTTTACTACTTATATTACGATTAAGTAGTCCATTTTCGTAGCCGAGAAAGGGAAGTGGTTTCCAACTGCAGAAAGCAAATGTAGGAATGTGTTAAATTTGCCTGTAGAAAATGAATAAGCAAAACAACTATTGGTGACAAATCACTACTCCTGCCAACAACAACAGCAACCCTATCATAAAAGACACTGAAAAAAATCAGATTCAAAGAGAAGAAATCAGGCAAAAAGAACTAAGGAAATCAAATCAAAACCAACTGTACAAGCTTCAAGGAAAGTAAGTTTTCTAGATTCAATATTCAGTGAAACATAATCATTAAATGTAACTAGTTCAAAGAAACGCCCATTAACAGAAGCATTATGAATAGATGAAATTCGACAATTGTGTTTCACACTGTTTGAATACGCAAACCGAAGATTGAATATCAAAGCATATAATCACAGTAAATGCGTGTAACAAAGAAAAATCGGGTTCAGTGAAATGGGATAGTTATGATTCATTTTATAGCTGAGAGGTCTACAGTAAGGATAGAAAAGAACGTTGTGGTAAATTGCCAATGAAGAAAATCACACTTCCAGAAACTTCATTACTTTTCTTTAATGTAATTTATTTTATGATGAAATCTTTGACGACTGTTCATTATCAGAGGTAATTGAATTTGCTGAAGAAATTCTACTAATACAACTATAACGTCTGTTTGCTGACTCTTCACGTTTAACAGCTAGTTGAAGTTCTAGTTGAGCTAAGACAGGTGGAATAAGATTGACAGCATACATACCATGACAAAATACATCAGCTGGTCGAACTAATAGACCATGAACAGAAAGACATGTGAAATAACGTCACGCAGCAACACACCCATCATGACGTACATAAGGTTTACGCAATTTAATATCAAGCCAAATACATTCAGCGAATGGATTTGGACCAATATATCGAACAATACCTACAAATTAAAGCGAATTTAAAGTCCGATTGAATCTAGATGTCGCGGGAGAAAATATTGATTATGATAAAATGAGGCGAAGACGAATCTGGGATAACAGAGTTTAAAACGAAATAATGAACTAGAGTTAATAAAAATGCCTTCAAATAAACATACTTTTATATTTTCTACTAGTATTCGTCAAGATTGGAGCGAATAGTTTGATAAAAATTAGGCGCCGACTATAGAAAAGTCATTATATGTGAAAATTATATTTGAAATAATCTCACAGATTGAAATTTAAATAATTCCAACATTTCGTCCAGCCAACTTATCTGGGTTTCTTCAGGGTAATAATCGAAATTGTTACTTATTTTAACACATAATCATTGGTAAATAAGGACACCAAAATATGTATGCGCTACACAATGTTTGTGTGGGGACTGAGACATTTCCCGGGTGCCAACACCGAAGCAATTGGTTTGCTTAACGGAACCCCCACTGCTCACTTGACCCAGAGGTCTCAATGGCGTGGCGCATATATATACTGGTGGCCCATCTTATCAATATTTATGTGTTCAAATAAGTAAATAAGGTCTAATCAAGGTTAGGAGATGCAGACTCATGATAACCGGTAGGAACTTGAGGAACGGTTGTTCCAGACAGTAAAGCTCAGTTGCTTCGTCACGATAGGCAAGCCCGACCACCACGTCAAGGTAGCAAAAACGGTCGGAAAATCATCGTGTGACAACTATAGAGGGATTAGTGCCCCATCTTACCAATATTTATGTTTTCACATGAATAGATAAGGTCTAATCGACGTTAGGAGATACACACTCATGACAACCGGTAATGAACAATAAATTTATACGTCATGTGTTCCCTCGGAATCCTGGAGCCCATGTAAACAATTGATTCGGAACTAGAGTTTTCCAACTTCCCTAGGTAGATCTTTTGCATAAATGAACGCGATCTAGGCAAGGGACATTCGCTATTCCTCCTCTGAATTTCGTAAATATTCCCTACAAGGGAAGCAGTAATTAGGATTTACCTAACAGTGACGATATAATCAAAATCACATGAGAGAATTTCAAGAGAGAGAGAGTGGACGCTCTTGGTGCTGGTCCTTACCAGGGCGTTTGACGGCAAACTTTTATATTACCATCAATGAATACAACAACACCATCTCTTGAGTGCTGTTGGATTTATGAGGGCGGTTATCACTTCCCGGTTGCCCACACCGTGGAAGGGTTCTACTGGAGGTACCTGAAAACGAAATTGGATTAGAGGTGGTCATAGTGACGTGAGAGCGTGACCGCAGTGCCCAAGGGGCAACTGCTTGAGGTCGTTCACACACGACCTTTTTATGAGTAGTTTCCGTGCTAGCTCCGTACTTGTTGAGACCTTACCGCCAGAGACGGATATCCGTGGGATAAAGCGAGGTGTGCATTTTTAGGATCGACTTTTTCTAACCCCACCCCTCCTTGTGGGAACACAGCATCGCTGCAATGCTGGCTGTCTGAAGGAAACACCTTACTGCTGTCACACCCCTGTAAAGTCAGCAGTACGACTTCACCTTCGGACCTTGGTTTTGTTGCTTTTAGTCTTACCGCTGTTCAACCAACCTGTGTGACATGGTGTGACCCTGAAAAACGGTTGTTCCAGCCAGTATAGCTCAGCTGCTTTATCACGATATGCAAGCTTGACCACCACGTCAATGTAGCAACAACGGTCGGGAATGCGGTGAATTGGACAGAAACCTCACAGTTTAAAGGTCTTAGTCCCATTAGGCGAATTAGCGAATATCGATCTAACGAAATGCATCTTCCCGTTGGAAAATTTCACTTTCAAGTGTGTTCAACCGTTTTCACAGTTGTGCTTTGCAGTGTAGTTTTCCATAAAGTAGATTTATGTTAGATAATTATCTTCATGTTGAATGTCGAGCAGATGGAGGATAAAATAATGAATGTCATCTACAAACTGTCGAATGAAACGAGTTACAGTTTTGAATGCAGAAACAAGTGTTCAGTTTAGGAGTTGATAATTCCACTGAAGTGAGTAGGAATATCTTCGTAGACTACATGGAGCATAGTTCTAAGGGAAATGAGATCAGTATGCTTACTGTGAGTGTGACTAGTTGTTTTTGTATAAGATGATATGAATGACAACACATCACATCACCACCATGTCAATGTAGCAACAACGGTCGGGATTAATTTAACTGATATAGTATCTAAAATACCTGCCTCGATAATTTTCGGACGCCTAACGAAGACTCGTGAACTGCAAACACGAGACAATCAAGCTGGCTTCAGACGTGGTTGTGGATGCTTAGACCACATAATCATCATTCGTCAGGTTCTAGAACACAGGCATACTTATCGGCGTCCGACAATGGTGGTCTTCCTTGACTTAAAAGCAGCATTTAAATCTGTAGACCGAGAGGTTCTGAGGCAGTGTCTGTCATTGAAAGGCGTACCTCAGAAGTATATAAACCTTGTGAGAGCTCTTTACTAGAACACTACTAGTCGAGTCAGAGCTTATGGCGAACTGTCATCTGTTTTTGCAACCTCAAGTGGTGTCCGTCGATGCTGTCCACTTTCTCCATTTTTGCTTAACTTCATCATAGATCTACTGATAGAAATATTGCTCCCGTCGACTGAATTTTCGGGCATTGATCTCCTACCAGGAGGTCCACTTATCAACTTACAATACACAGATGACATAGTCCTGTTTGGTGAAGACGCTGATAAAATGCAGTCTTTTAGTAGCACTGAGCAACAATGCTAGAATGTTTGGGATGCACTTCTCTCCCTCTGAATAAAAGTTGTTGCTTTAGGACAGGTCTGCATCAACACCTGAACTAAGGATAGGCAGTGAAGTAATCGAACGCGTTGACAACTCCACTTGTCTTGAAAGCCTGATCAGCATTAACGGGTTGGTGTCTGACGAAATCTCAGCACGGATTCGAAAACCTCGTTTGGCTTTCGCCAACTTACGTCACCTATGGCGAAGTCCAGATATCCGTCTATCAATTAAGGAACGAGTATTATGCGCGGCAGTTCGTTCCGTTCTACTATACGGCTGCGAAACATGGCCTTTAAGTGTAGAAGATATTCGTAAGTTACTAGTATTTGACCACAGGTGCCTTAGAAATATTGCGGGTATCTGCTGGGATCACCGGGTAAGTAATAGTGAGGTTAGACGCAGGGTATTCGGGAATGATGGTAAATCAGTTGATGAGGTTATGAACCTTCATCGACTGAGTTGGTTGGGCCACGTGCTGCGTATGCCTGAACACCAATTACCGCGACGCGCAATGCTAACCGGTGTTAGGGATGATTGGAAGAAAGTTAGGGGTGGCCAAACCAAAACGTGGAATCAGTGCTTGAAGTCACTAACTTCTAGTCTGAGCCATGTTGGAAGATTCAGACTGCCTGGTTGGGGTCCGCGTGACTATCGTAACCAATGGTTAGAGACTCTTGGTGACATGGCTTAGAATCGATCACAATGGCGTCGTTGTATACACTCTATGTCTTCATTTAAACTATGAGATTAAAATCGCTTCATATCTTTCTTTCTATGAACTAATTCTTTATTCCTGTATTATCTCCTTATATGCAATCTTTCTTTTATATATTACCACCACTGAATTAACTACTTCTATGAATCCGGTGTTCATCTTGTTGTGCTAATGCGGTATGGCAACTTGGACCGGTGCATATATACGCCTTGTTCTACGCTGTAGCTGACTGGTTGACTATGTCACGTACTACAACTGTGCAAGTTGTTTTCTTCAGTTTCTCAAATTGCAAATAACGTAATAATTTGCTTAAATTCTTCCATCACTTCTCATCATTATCTTTAGATTACGAATTCATTCACCGGATACCGCTTGAAATCATAATTTTCAAATTCGAGATCGTGTACTAGTAGCTGGTCAACGTATAGAATTTATAGGTTTTATTGAACAAACGCAATTTGCTCGAGGTATCTGGTATGGTATTGCATTAGGAACCTAGTGATCATGAGAAGAAGCTGTATTGAGGTCATGTAATATGAAGAAGCGAGGGATTTCACCACTATCTCATATACACAAGTACACATAAAAGGTCTTACAACGATCATTATTTGTGTTCTGATTGGTGATTCAACATCACGGAATCGTAGGTATCGCGACTGCAGCCACTAACATAACGTGATAGTCGTGCTTGCCTGTCATGATGACTGGATTGAGCTACAATGACTAGAACACATGTTCCTTTAGGTCCTACCATTCCAGGTAGGTCTGTTGGAGAACAGTAAGGCTAAAAGCAGCAAATTAAGGTTCGATAGTGAAGTCGTACTACTGACTGTGTAGTGAACACAGAACACGAGTGGGGCAATCGAATGTATTTAGGCACAAATTACAGAAAATCTCACTACAATCTGACAACCATACAGTAAACAGTTAATTTGCGAAATATCAATCAATTGTCTCAATCCTGACTGTTCCTTCTGTAAATATCAGTCCATTGTCTCTGATTACATTGTTCTTGAATTTTTATACCGATTGCTTTCAATTTCCGTTCTTTCCTTCTCGATCTTCAACTGAAATACATTCTATGCCTGACCATCATTATATGCTACTTATGTGGATATTAGAAGCCCACACCGAAACTGTACAGTGGTGTGATAATATTAAGGCGTTCCCCTAGCATTTGCAGCGATGCTCTGTTATGATAAAGGGATTGTAAAAGGTCGAATCGAAACACATCACACGTCACCTTACCCGACTGATATCCCTCTTCGACGGTAAAGTCTTTTGAAGTGAGGAGCTGACATTTCGAAAACTACTTATAGAAACACTGTCTCCTTGACAGGTCCCTCAAGAAGAAATATCCTCTTACGGTGTGGGAATCTGACAAGTAACAATCGGCCTACTACCTCTAATCAACACTCGGGATCATTTTGTTCACTCTCAAATATCTTCACAGTAAGTTCTACTATTTCCTGTTAAACATCCAAATTGAACTACATAAAATATAAACGTTCGTAAAATGCAATAAGACAAAATATTTATAACATCGCGGAATCAGTTAACTAATAGCTAAAAATAGAATTCTTTTCCTTTCATTTTTTGATATTTCTACTCATTTCAGACATTTAACATCAAGTAATAAGTATGAAAAGATTAGTGAAAGAGTTTGATCAAACTCTGAACAAGAATAAACTGCTAAGATAGAAAATTAAGACTTAAGAAAGTTAACAAAGAATATAATAAGCAATTTCTCAATATCACATTAATTCTCAGCAATGAAACTGTCGAGTTTACTCAAAGAAATTATACTCACAAGTTCAATATATTAGAGTAGTTGAAAGAATGTATGGGTTCATTCAATGTGATTTGGTTTCACTATTTATGTAGCCCATATCATTTGTGAGAGCACTGTAATTAAGTAATCTCAATTGCCATTTATATATTCTGAGTGATTTAACTCAATATCTCCATTTGGTCACAAATGTTTTTTAAAGTTAACTAATGACATACAATGAAATGTATATTATGCTCTCTGTCCCATTTAGCACTCGTCAGTAGGATGAACAATCATCTCAGTATTGATGTTCATACTGAGAACCGAATTCATTACATAATCCATTCAAATATCAATGCGTTATCCACTGAAATGGTGAACCTAGATAGCCACTAAGTTATCAAAGAGATAATGGCACATGTGTACATTGATTACAGTTGCCATACCACATTACCACAGAGAGATGAAGTTGAGGGACTAAAGTTAAGAGTACTAGATGTAATAACAGTATCAGTGGTAATAGAAGACATCGGGCATCGAAGATACGATTCAAGAAGTTTAGCGAAATAAAAAAACTGGGGAATTCAAAAGCTTATAACAATTTTCTACCCAAGTTGCTTGAAGATAGTGGGTAATTAAAGTGTGGTCGAAGGCCAGTTGAATCGTCCCGAAAAGTATTCTCCCCATTGATCTAATCTTCTGAGTTGAGAGTGAATGACAGTCCAATCGTTTTCCGAGATGGTCCCACTGAAATTCACTGATTTTCCTTAACCATTTCGTTTGACCCACTGGGAAGTATTGTAGCTGTTTGGACATTATCTCAAGCTGTCTCATGGTGGATATCACTTTTATCGTTGACTAAATCCATTACATGTAAATCCTGATTACACAAAAAGTAAATTTGTAGCTATCTCAGATCAATAGGTTAGTGGATAACCTATCGGCGTCTGAGAAGAAATATACTGGGTTCCAGTCCATATTTGCAAATTAACACTGCATCCAGATACATCCAGCTAAACAGTTACTAATAAGACAAAAGGCCCGTGTTGAATGACACTGATAGCTTTGATTCATCCATTCTACTCCAAAAACGTGTTGAAAGAGTATTTCAAGTGAAATTGAAATGCACAAGACAAAACTAGAAAATAGGATGAAAACATTGACTAAACTATACAGAAATCTACATAGTTTCTTTCATATTGGTAATAATAGGAATTTACTACGTTTTGTGAAAGATTCAACCTGAAACTTTACATAACTAATATCACAGTATAAAATATTTGGAAATCATCGTTCTTTAAACAAAAGAATGAGATAAATGAATATCTTACAATGTAAGCAGCAGCTAAAACTGGATACATTAAATATCCTGGTAACATACGAATGTAACACTCAACAGCGCAAAATGCAGCAGCCAATAACAGATGACCTAAACAAAAATTAAGAAACAAATATTCGATGTTAAGTATTTACTGACAATGACCAAATATCTATCAACGAAGTTGCCAATTGCTCATCCAAGCCATATCATTAAGTGTAAATTTGTGTGGTCGATGCTTACGGTTATAGTCATGTCTTATGTTTGAGAATATTGGATGACAACCTAGAGTCAGTTGAACAAGCCCCGGTCGCGATCACGAAGAGGTAGCTTATTAGTTACAGCGTTTGATTTTCAGTCAATAACTCTCAGGTTCAAACACGGTTTTTAATACTTCAGTTTGAGCAATCGAGTATTACCATCTGCCCTCACACTTTGCATGTGTCGCCCGAAGCACAAGTACACGAATATGTGTCTGACAAATGAAAATGATCTTGTATTTCTTGCTCTGTTTAAATTTGTCAAGGGATCTGGTTGCATGACAATGACAGTTTCAATCATTATTTATATCTGTGAATTTTGAGCTAAGGATAATTCAAGTCATTTCATTTGTTGTTGCTACTCTTTTCCGGAAATAAGGACACCTAATCAAAGTACCAGTAAATGACCTCAGCAGCAGTGAGAACTACAGAGGCAACACACCACTATCAGTACAAGCGCAAGTGAGTGCCAAAATTCCAGACAAATTTTTTGGCTTTCGAAAGGATCGCTGATCTACCGACAAAACCGCTACACTATTGATCAGTTGTTATCAATACCAAGGTTCGACTCGATAGTTTCAAATAAACTGAGCAGTGGGTAGAGAGTTAATAATAAATATACTTGTGTCCTATCCCAATGAGTATAAAAATTGTATTTCTGACGTTTCGTGACATAATGTGAGCAACCTCCTCAGAGTAAATAAATAACCGACAATTTATTGACGTAAGTTTAAATAGACAGTTAACTGAATCGAACTCATCACCATATCAACTGTTTTTATGTCTATATTTCCGCCGCAGTTTACACTATCTCCTTTTCTTTGTTTGCCATATATAGTTAATTTCGCATCGATTTACTGATATGAGGTAATGGCACATTCCCGCCGCACTCCACATTGACGATGGCTGTTACTAAAGTACTAGGTAAAGAATAGCTACGACTTCACTTGCTCAACTGAAGAGCAACTAAAATAATAATTAAAGCTACAGTCATTAAACCAATAAGTTATAACTCTTTGATTATCACATAAATGTAACGAAGTCGTTCGTTATACTTAATCTTGATGATCTTAGTGAGATAACAAAAACATTACAGGGAACTTATTAAAGCGACTCTAGTTGATTTGTCGCAAACGACCACTGGTCTGCATATGAAGTCGTACCTATCAACGCCATACACCCTCGAACAGTATGATCTCGAGGATGCCATTCAGAAAATTATGATTGTAAGAAACGGATATTAGACTGAAGATATTATTGCTTATTTTACAACACTTCCTATTAGTACTATGGTAAGCAAATAATATTAGGTGTCGATATTAATGAAGTATCACATATGAAACATGTTCAAGTGAATGAGAACGGTCCTGTCGTTAAAACCTTACTCATCAAATAACGTTGTTCACAATACTCAAATAGATGTCATTAAGCACTGAATTCTTAGTGCTTACTTACAAAATTAGTTGATTTTCCCAACAAACATCAAGTGAATACAAATAGGTAACTTATTCGACCTAAGAGATGAAATTCAACGTCATCAATCGGAAGATCTTGTGGCGGTAATTCTGCATAAGAGTTTCTGACCGTATTATCCATTGAAATAAAGACTAACGACTGATTCACACAACCACGTAAATGTCTAACTAAAACTGTAAAGTTAATTAATGGTAAGGACTGGTTTCATTGAAGAATGTTCAATGGATGTGTATTAATTAAGTTTGTAACTGTCGTCACTTTCCATTCCTCGTAACACGTAGATAACAAGAAATAGGTATCCTGAGTCCCCGTATTCAGACGAAAACTAGAGCACACAATACAAGAAACCATAAAAAACCCATAGTTATGTAAAAGCACTTTCAACGGAATCAGAAGAAATGACAATGAAACTAACCTTTACAGATAGATAGATTGATCCATAAAAATACAATATTGTACACAATAGCTGTCGACTGAGTAGGTGAAATCAGTATTGAGTAAGCCCTAAGCGCATACCTATGAATAAGTTCAAAAAAACTTAGATTTGAAAAATTCAATAAGGTATCGCCTCTGAGTGTACTATAAAACAGATCATACGGGTGTTTCTTGTTCATCTAATCAAGGGAATATTTGGTGGTATACATTGTTTACGTCAAATTAGAAATCATACTGCAGTTAATGGATTCCAGAAGAAAAATCCACTGAAATTTATTAAAATTACGAGTCAACAGAAGGATAGCATAGGTAACACATATTTCGGCGAGACTAATTTAGGGACGAGCCAATCAGAAGCGTTTGAGCCGTTTCAAGGTCACGGAGCCAAGTTTAACACCTGATGCTCACATATAATAGGTTTACAACGGATTTTAGAGAAGGGGTGATTATTGAGAGGCTACAGAGATAGGATTACTAAAAAGTTCTTGTACGTGAGACTGTGGTTATCAAATGTCTGCAGTAAAGTGTGCAAATAACCGTGGTGAGATTATATTTCGTTGTCCTTCATGTTGGAGGAGAAAGTCTGCTAGAACGGGGACTTTCTTTGCTCGATTGCTACTGAAACTGAATCAGATTATGATAATATTTGTAAATTGGGTAATAAATACACCAGTAACACTGGATGCGGCGTTTGCAGTTGTTTATGAAACTTCAGCAGTCCTGTGGTATGAGTACTGCCGTGACATATGTGCAACTAAGATAACACTTGTACACCAATCATTCGGAGGAGTAGGATGTATCGTGCTGACAGATGAAACGGCAGTGAGAAAGCGAAAATACAACAGGGGACGTAGTATAAAGTAGGATTGTGTAAGTAGCATTTCCGTAAATATACTCGACAGGTACTTGGAAATTATGACATATTATACCGTATGCAATATGATTTCAAAACATCTGAAACTTTAGCAAACCTTGATAAGTTTTTAAATTATGTAAAAGAAGTATATTCACTGTAATCCATTTGTTTCTTCTAATATATTTCTACGTTATACTAGCTGTCTTCTGATTGGCTAATATTCTCAAGGTCACTTAAAATTCGTTCAAAAGTCGTCCCTAAATTAGAGTCTTGCCCTTCAGAACTAACCATCACATCGTTAGCAACGATGTGCTCAGATTTCTTAGTCTATGTGAAGACCTACAAATCAAGTTTTCACAACATACTATGGAGATCGACGACGCAGCTTCACTTACCAAAACTGCCGCCAGTCAAACTACAAAGAACAGCTTACTATTGTTCATACTGGGTTTACTTTACAAACGATAAAACGTTTAACCAGTGTTAAAAGTCAACCTAGAATAAATGGGAAATATCGTTTCACAGATAATTGGTCACAACGGAAGAAAGCATTAACTCATGATGTCAGTGACACTAAGTGACGTGAAATAAGCACATAACTTTAAGACTAAGAACATTCTAACATTTCCATAGGTTTAGATGTGTACTAAAACCAAGCACGCTTATCATATCACTGAAACTTCAGTCTTCAGTAATAAGGATAGGTCTATCGACCTGTATTAATCTTTGCTGTTTGTAATATTGTGGAGGTCCAATCTCGTCTTGAATATATCAACAGAAGGTGCTGATATTACGTGTTCCGGTAGACACTTCCAATAATTCACTACTCGATGAGAGAAACAAAACTCCAGACGTAAACGATTTGATCTCGGTTTTCGAATTTTTTTCGAGTGTCCTCTCAAACGATCAGTCCTGGACGGAAGTAAAAGATAAGACATGTTAATACCAAGGTCATCGTTCAGTATACGATAAGCCAATATTAGATCACCCCGTATTCGACGGTATGATAACGGAAATAAGTTGAGGTGTCTCAATCTGTCTTCATAAGATAGTCCAGATAGACCTTGTACCATCTTAGTACCTCGTCGTTGGACTCGCTCTAGCATATCTGCTTCATACTTGAAGCAAGGACTTGCTGCTTGAATTCCATATTCTAAATGTGGTCGCACATAAATTGGGTACAGTAATCTAAACATTTCTAAATCGAAATACTGAAAAGATCCACGAATAGGCCATAATACCCTATAGCCTTTCGCAGCAGCAGCCTTACAGTGACTAGTGGTTTTGAGATCACTTCTTAATATAACTCCCAAATCTTTATAGTTTCTTACTTTGGGTAGTAAGAATCCACGTATTGTATAGTGATACGATTCATCGTTGTTATTTAATTGCATCACCACACTCTTATTGGGATTTACTTCAAGTGACCACCTGTCTAACCATGCCACCAATGAGCTAAGATCATTCTGTAATACTTTTCTATCTGACATACTGTGTATGGGTCTCCAAATTTTTATGTCATCAGCGAATAGTAGAACGGATGATTTTGCTACAGTTGGTAATTCATCTACATAAAGTAAAAATAGAAGAGGATCGAGGATTGTACCTTGGGGAACTGCACTTTTCATAGGTACCTACGAGGAAAGAGACCCATTTACCCTTACCCTTTGTCTCCTGTCATGGAGAAAGTTACTTATCTAATCTACAACTGTATAATGGATTCCGAAGAGTTCCAGTTTGAGTCTAAGACCAAAGTGAGAGACCTTATCGAAAACCTTACTTAGATCTATGAAGATCACATCGACAGGAATATTCTGATCTTTTGCAGCAGCCCAATCTTCTCTTGCAATGAGAAGATTTTTCAAGCACGATAGGCCTCTCCGAAAACCATGTTATTCCCTGGAGAAAAGATTATGCCTTTCAACATAGTTTATAACAGATATTCGAACGATTTTTTCGATCAGTTTTACAACCGCACTCGTTAAGCTAACGGGTCTAAAGTTACTAACTAAATCCCTACTCCCAGCCTTATACACCGGACTTATTATAGCGTCTTTCCAGTCTCTGGGTAGTCTGGACTGCTTCAATGACATGTCAAACAGTATCTCCAATGGTTCAGCAATTACGTCTGATATGGCTTTCATAATTCTAGGATGAATATTATCAGGACCACTGGACTTATCAGGTTTGATATGCTGAAGTAGCCTTAAAACAGTACCTTTCTCAATGACCATGCTTCTTCAACTGATAAGCTAGTATCTACAAACCAATCTGTCTTAGCAGCGCATTCCTGAATGGCTGATATGTTAGCTTTTCATATATTTAGGTGGGGTGTGACCTGATCGTATAACATGTCCTTAGTTCTAAACGAGAAAGACAAAACAGCGTGATCACTGTTCACTAACGGTGGGAGAACATTTAGGTCGACAATATCTTCAATATCATGAGTGATTACCAAGTCCGACAGAGAAGAACCTTGGTTAGCACGAAAACGTGTAGGTTTGGATACATGCTGCACTAATGCATGCTTCATTATTGTTATCAGGAACCTATTATCAAAGGAGTTTATAGATCCTTCTGTGGTCATTTCAGTCCGACTAATGTTAGGTGCATTAAAGTTTCCTATTATCAAGCACCTGGTATTGGTACTTCAAAGATGAATGTCCTCTGAAATAAAATCATCGGCTAAACAGATTGGGATGCGATAGATGACACCGAGCATAAACGTACTACATCCGATATCCGATTTACAGCTAATAACTTCACAAGTACCGCTGTCATGGGATTCGCTAACAAAGGAGCGTATATTTATATTATTGGATATATATAACAGGACGCCACCTCCTTTTCTACAACTATGTCTATCACTCCTTAGGTAATGGTATCCCGATAATTCTGGAGTAATGTCGAAGTCATGGACTAACCAAGTTTCTGTCACTGCTACGATGAGTGGCCTTAATCTGTCCACTAATGCTCCTAGCTCATAGAACTTATTTCTTAGACTACGAGCATTGGCATATAAGACTCCTAGGTAGAACGGCCTATCCATACAGGCCTTGGTAGCCGTCGCTTCCAAGACCTGACTATCCGAAAACCCACTAACCGGAGATTTTCCTTACCATTTTGTTGGCGGATTTCTAGTTCAGCTAGTGCTTTCTTTCTTTTTATTCTATCTTCGAGAGACATATCAGGTCTAACTCGGATATCGGAATTGTCGTGACAACGAGCATTACTTAACAGGAGATCCCGTTGCGTCTCTGATCCTAGGATTACCTTAAGGAGTCTACATGGTCGAGGTTCAGCATTGTTTTCGGTCCTCTTGCCTATTCCTACCAGCTTTTTGACCTGGACTCCTTTAGAGTTATCCGGTAAGATACTACGAATATATTCTCCCAACTTCTCTAAATCATGTGCATGTCTAATTTTGGCGTCAGGGTCGTTTGACTCCAGTAATTTGCTAACAATAATATTCGATGATATCAGATTCTTCTTTTCAGTCACACCTGGTTGGTTAACTGTCAGATTTCGGTAGTGCGTTTTGTGACTCACAATGGGAGTCCGTCAATGACTGGCTAACCACTTGCGCATTACTCATAGCTTTTTTCTTTTCGCTTCGTTTTTTCAGTACTGTAGTCCATTTTTAATCCCTCAGGACACCGGGACTATTTGGAACAGTGATGGTCTTATTCAGATCTTCAGTTTCCACTAGAGGTACCTGGTTACCGATGTCAGTTTCAGGTGGTGCTTCTTCCCTCGGTAATGTTAACGGAGATTTCACTTTTCCGTCAATCAAATTTGGGTGTTTGAGGCGTCTTGTAACAGCAGGTACTACACTGACACATTCGCCACTGTCAGTGCTCGTATTATCAGTGCATGCCCTATCGTTTTTCTTACAGGCCAAAGCCAATAGGCTCATAGTCTCTTGTATTGGTAACGTCTTATTTGCACAACAAAACATGCAAAGCGAAAGTGAGTTAGGTTTTGAACATCTTTTGTACGCAGTGGGACTTAAACGAGTGCATATCTTATGGAACCACCTTTTGCATTCATCACATTGCATTCCTTCGTCCACAGGGAACAAACAACGTGGTTGTCCACATTTGTGAGTACTACCAAGTATTTTACTCAGATGAAGGTGTATAACACAATATGAACACTAGTGTCAGTCAATGAGGAAGAAGGTATCACAAGACAAACCTTAGCAAGATTTAAAACCTTGACTAAAGTACTTTAATATAGACCAAGAATGCTTTTGATGCAACAAGCACAAAATCACTGCCCTTTTTTGAACACGCGCGTTATAATAACTTACCGAAGCTATCAGAAAACTAATTCGGTGATTCGTGTACAGAAGACGTGTTACGATGTCGAATCGAGATAAAATAGTTAAATGCTGATCCACACAATATGAATAAGAAAACCAGCGAGATGAACTCATGAGCCTAGGACAGTAAGTAATCAACCGAAAGATAAAAAGACCCATCACCCTCCGTCAGCTTCAATAAATAAGACCACATTAATAGCAAACCAATGCCAAAAATCCAAATCTAATTTTATTCTATTCTAAGCTGATGTACTACATCACCATTATGGGCAGAAATCCTGTTCTTGTGAATATATTTCTCCATTAGTTGTTCTAATGAAATGCTTTGTTCCGAACATACCATAGTCCCACTGATCTGATGATGATTATGTAAGACTACCTAAAACGCTTTTGGATACAAATTTCTTGAGCGAATGCTTAAGGATTAGTCCAAAACCACACACAACAAACAATCACAGGTCATTTGCAAAACCCGCTGTTAGGTCGCAAGTGAACTTACTTGAAGTAGATAAACAATTCTATAACTAACGGACTGCCTATCTTTTGTGGTAAGCACATAGAAATGCGAAAAAAATTTTGAAAAAACAGAGAGGACGACTTTGATATGTTGATATATCAATAACATTTGGCACGCGATCTAAAATTTTGCTCGTGATGTGCTAGATTTCGGTTGCGTTTATTGTGCCGGCAGTGTGATTCAAGCTCACAATTATCTCATTCTCCTCTATTTCGGCTTGCAAAGTGCCTTTTATGCGTTTTATATTCGGATTTTACTACTCGAAGATTAACTGTTGGTGCGTATCTACAATATTTCCAATGTTCTGAACGGTGTAGAAGAAGCTTTCGCTTAACGTGCTTCCGTACAGTGTGGCGATGGATCACTTTTGTCTTCAGATGGGAACCTAGATAAACGGTTGATAGATCCCAGTAAGATACTATCCTTAAACTTTGAGAATAAGTCAAGTTTTCTCTTAAAAGACTCCTTAGAAGTCGTTTGGACTAGCTCAACCGGCAGTTAATCCCAGAATTCCATACCCATAAGGAGTAGAAGGTTCTGAGTGTTGTCCCTTAGGTTTGTGTTGGAGCTAAACATAAGCAGGTGTTTAAAGTAATGCCTAGAAGTGTTAAGAATACTGTAACGGAAGAAGAAAGCTGAAAATGCCTCCACAGTATTCTTGTTGAACAGTGCTGTCATTTACTTGTTCCTTCTCCCTGTCGTGTATTTTAACTTTTGTCCAGACCTCTTTTGATCACACCTTGCGTTCTTCACTCTTCCTCGTCTGAGCTTTTATTATTTGATTTTGATTAAACACTTTGCTATTTTACCTCCTTTTCTATCGCATGTTCCGGACTACTGACAGTAAGGTCGTGTTCAATTAAGCTCAAGGTCAAGGCGTGGTTCAGTGTGTTCCTGTTAAACTTTGACTGTCTGATTGGGGTGGTTGCTGGAATCCCTGCAGATAGATATCTGATCTCGTCTTGTTGGGAATATTTTTATTGATTCTCAGGTGTTGAACTCTTTCATATCAACCGTTTCTTTTATTGTTCTGCACGCTAATTTGTGTCAGAGAAAATTTGACTGTATAGCACAGGCTGTACCGTTCGAGGTGTTTTGTATTTTTGATGTAATTTGTTCTGTTTCTTAAATTAGAACCGACTAGATTGAGCACAGGTTCGGTGTTTTGGTATAATCTAATACGAGTATCTCAAAAACGCTTCGCAAGCTATACAGAAGAACGTAGTCTGGCTTAATTGAATAAATTTTGGCTCGGTAGTCCTGCGTTCAAACCGAATATTAGCAGTTTGATCGCTACAGATACTGTGAGCTATTGGATGGTCAATAAAAACACACCTCCAAGACGCTCGTACTCTAAAGAGTAGATATTCACTGATTGTGGGCGTTGTTCATAAGACTTGAATTTAAGTCCACGAACTGATTTCGTGGCTTGCCGTTAGATTTATTCCAGAATTTCCTTATCCTTTAGGAGTGAGGGAGGAAATACTGCGTTTCCGTAATCTAAACGGGGACGAAGAGATCTGTTGAAGATCATGTAAAAAGTTCTTCCGTCTAGCTGGCAGAAAACGCACTTCAATGTTATCAATGCAGTCCCTGATTTCTTTCAGCTCGAATTTTCTTGGTTCCCGGTCAAGGCGCCCAGATGTTATGAATCATTTATTGAATGTCTAGAGCTTGGACAATGGACTCAGTATGACGGTAGCCCTGCCAGACATCAATATATCTTGGATTTAGTCTTTACCAGTGGCCTCACTCCCAATACTGTGTATATTGGAAAAACTTTTCCAGGTTGTGATCATAACATTGTCATATGCAGCCTTAATATAAAAACCACAACCGGCAGACGTAAAACCGCAACACTTTGTGGAAACTATCGCAAGGTTGATTGGAAAAACTTCCACAGCTACTTAAGAAGCCCTGAGTGAGGAACTTTCTTTACTGCAAACAATACCGACACACTAACCAATATACTTTATCTCAACATCAGAAGTATCTTCAACAAAATCGCACCTTTAGAATACTGTAAACCTGTAGTGGCATTGGGCCCTAACACGAGACAATACGGAAAATAAACATTCAACGTTTAACGCTGGGAAAAACCTAACAATGGAGAAGGTGGGGATAATGAGTTGAATAAATTGGAGTTGATCGTATGGCATGACTCCTCCATGCAGGCGTGGTCCCTGCTAAATGTTACGTTCATATTAGATATATTGTTCCATCTCTAGCCTAAGATTGTTCTCTATCATGTATTGGTAATTGTTATGATACAGTGAGTTGGTGTAGATGATAAAGTGACTTCCACGTAAGATCTTATAGATTAGGCAGTTACATCATAACAAATCTAGAATTTTAGGATTAGGTCTATTATTAGAGCAGTACTAATATCATAGCACACTATAAATCCACAGACCTACGTTTTCTAAAGATCTCTATATACCGGTTGAAACGCCCCCCTTCTGAAGAGCTCCAATCGTTCTTTGGACTTCCACCTACAGAACATATGGTTTACCCTTTCCTATTATACATTGTTTATTAATCATGGCCTCTCTTGTGCTGTACGTTTGAAGTTTGTGTTACGATAACACTATCTAATTGTATATCGTTGAGTCCTAGTTTATAACTCATACATAGCTTTAGAATTCATACTTTTGGCAATATGGGTCGATTGTCAAAAATCGAGCACGGAAAAGCCCTAACTCTTCAGATATTAACAATTCTGTTATTACCTATTCTTCTTGCTCCGCTACTTCTTTTGTATCTGATAATTTTTGGACTGGTCTTACACCACACGTGCTGCTGGATGACTCTGTTTCTAATTTAGTAATGAGTTCCACCTCAAGATCAAAAAGGATCGATGATATGAAGAGTGAATTAAACACACTGTTTAAGCAACTAAGCGACATGCGTTCTAAAGTTGAGTCACTTTCTAGCTCTTTATCAACGTATGATGATCTGGAGCAAGAACTAAAGACACTATCACTCTTAAAAAAGCTTTTCTCTAAAGACATCGTACCTGCAGAACTTGATGACATTATAAAAGCAGAATTCGTTATCGATTTTATCGCTAGTGAAGTTAGCGAGCGAATAGTCTCTCGTAATAACGTGATTGTCTATAATATACCTGACAAAGTCCCCATTAAAACTGTAAGGAATTCCATATTAAAAGCATCTAACCTCCAAGACAGTCCATGCCAATGCATCCGACTTACTAAGAAGCACCAGAAATACTCGTGCCCGGTCTTGTTCAGGTTTGATTCTCATATATTAGCTGGACAGTTAAAAGAATCTGAGCGGCTGATATGCGCGCTTACGAAGTTTAGAAACGCTCGCATAGTCTCAGATAAGACCACCAATCAAAGACTTACGCAAAAGCGTACCGTGAACGAAAATATAGATGTTGAGATCATAAAAAATCACGACGCATCAGCTGCTGGATCCACTGATACTGATACCCTATCTCATGTTCTCCAGTACTCTGATCTGCCAACGAAGAGTGCTAACTTACCTATTATGCCTGTGGTGACATCTGATAACCAATGTACATCTACTGATTACACTAATCCGATAGTATCCAATTTACCATTAGAAGCCCATAAGCAAATACCTAGTCCTAATGCGACAGCTCTTAAAAACACTGTCAAGATTAAAAAGTCTATGCCACGTAAGAAGAATGTTTGTACAGAACCTTCTGGTTCTAGACCCAATAATAAAAGTATTACGATGGCCCTACTAAATACAAATAAGACTATACTTCCCGACACCAAGCTTTACCCAACGCATCGAAGGGGAGGATATAAGGGCAGACCTGGTTCAAATGTCTCACAAGACGGCCGCTTCAATCATTATGTAAGTAGGCCTAATACTGGACAGGCCACAGTAAACCAACGAGCCTCACGAGTACCCTCAAACGTTTTAAATGATAAACCTGTAAGACGTAACCTCTCTCAACACTTACCCATTAGACAAGATGGATTACTAGGTTACCCAACACCAAACGTTTTAAATAATATACCAGTAACACGTAACTTTTCTCAACACTTTCCCATTGGGCAAGATGGATTACTAGGTTACTCACCACCAACCCAACCTTGTCTTAACTGTCCACCTAGTCAAGTTCAACAAATTTATCAAAATAATGATTTTTTTGGCCTTCAGAAATCCCTGGTCCCACTAGCACTACAATATGCTCAAGCGATCGCCCATGTGATCAGTCAAACATAATAAACCACAGTCTATGCAAATCCAAAATACACGACATCAATAGGGAAGCTCTCGGTTTTTTTACACTCCATACGCCCTTTCTAAATCTATTACTTATCAATGCACGTTCACTTCTGAACAAAATTTCATCCTTGAGAACATTAGCCTTTCTATCCAAGCCTTCTTTCATACTTATCACTGAAACATGGTGCTCTCATGCAGTATCTGATTCAGAATTAAATATCCAAAACTATAGACTCTATCGCTGTGACAGAGAAACTAAGCGAGGAGGTGGTTGTATTATATATGCTTTGGATACCCTAACAACTAATAGAGTTGAAGATAGTGTCCTGAATAGTTTACCAGAATCAGTCTGGATATCTGTCAACACCCTGAATCGTAGTCTACTCCTTGGATGTATATACAGAGCTCCGGAGAGCTCAAATAATGGGAATAATCTTATTATCAATGCATTCATACATGCATCTGCTCTAAACTTTAATGCTAAGGTAATCACTGAGGATTTCAATTATTCTGGGATTAACTGGAGTACCGGTAGCTGTCAGTCATGTAATGAGGAGTTCTCGGCAACCATTAACATGCACTGTTGGTCACAGTGGGTTCGTACCCCAACTAGAGGTGATAGTATACTCGATCTAATATTTAGTAGAGATATTATCCCACTGTCTGTAAAAGTATACGATGAATTTGAAAGCAGTGAACATAAGACAGTAGTATGCGCTCTCCCTATATATCCCTCTTCTAACCGACCTATTCAAAAAACCTGTCAATATAGAGACCTCCTGCATTCACTGATTAAGCTTTCAGACTGAGATAA